AGAATCCAAGTTTCAGTCTATTAAATTGATAAAACAGGTTTATGCAATTTTGCTTATCCAAACAGTACCCTGACTGATGCACTTTATGTACAGATTTAAGCATCAGTTTAACCCAACTAAGCATACACATTATTGAATAAAAACATGCTTAAAACACAGTTGTAAAACATAATCCAAAACTTAAGACCATGCAAAAGCATCAAATCTCCTCCAAACAGTGTCCTAACAGAGATATACAACAGATTTAATTGTCCGTTAATTCCAACCAAGCATACCTATAATTCAATAACAGAATGCTTAAACCTTAGCTACACAACATAATTTAAAACTTAGGGTCGTGTACAGGCATCAGATTTCTAAAACAGTCTGCACTTCAAATCAGTGGTTTAATCTTTCACATACAGCCCTTGTTTAAACTTATGTTAATTCTATCATTTATTCTATAATATAAGCTTGCTTCTCCATTATTTTATAAGTCCTAAGCAGTATATTACATCATTCAATAGCCTTTAAATAGTTTTAGAAACTCAGATTTAACCAACCAGACCATTTAAAACTCAGTATACATGATATTTAAGAGAAAGAGAAGGCTATGTGTTTCAAAGAGCCTTCTCCAAATAAGCAGAGCCTTCTCCACTCAAGTAGAGGCTTCTCTAAATAAGTAGAGCCTTCTCCAAATAAGTAGAGCCTTCTCCAAATAAGTAGAGCCTTCTCCACTTTAAGTATACATCTGTTCTTCTTCTGTTGTCTTCTCCGACTCCGGTGGTTTCCAGTCATTGAACTTAGTTTTATTTCAGGTTTTAAGATCCCATCCACATCCAAAGTAATCACAAGACAGGGTTATATAAACAAGAATTTAATTAAACATCAGTTTGTAATGCAACGACAATCAGTTTGCAATCTACCGCTTTCCTTAGACTTATTTTGCTCCATTCTTATGCTTAATCACGGATTAATGTTTTCCACAGTATAACGGATTTATTCCAGACCCAACAACAATTTAAAACAGCCTAAACAAAGTTCCAAGAACCTATACAGACCAAACAGTGCACAGAATCAAAATTTGGTGCGTTCAATTGAGAGCAGGCTCATTCAAAACAAAGAGCCTGCTCTATTTTTTCCAAAAGAGCCTGCTCAACTAATCTAGGAGCCGGCTCCTAGATGCTAGAGCCGGCTCCACCTTCCTTTGGAGCCGGCTCTAAGGTAGAAAGAGCCGGCTCCTCATCTTCTTGGAGCCTGCTCTTCTCCCCTTAGTGCCGTCGTCCGTTCTGCTGCTTCTTCTTCGACTGTGGTGTTTTCTAGACCTCTGTAAGGTTCTTAATGGTTGTTCTAGGGTTCAATCTTAATTATAGGGTACTCTTAACCCACTGTTATGCAACCACGATCTGAACTAGACACAAATCTTACGGGAACGATTACATAACTTCTGATAGCAACTTTAGACAACTTACAACAGATTTATTTAGTAAAACTCAAAACTGTTTTAAAATCTTGTTCTAGGGATTAAACTCATTCTCAGAATAATTGTAAGGCATCCAATCTTATTACTAATCTCATTAAAACAGGCTTAAACGTAAAAGACACAGATAGCAGAAAATCAACCAGTATGCAAAACAGTTAACTCACTGAGATCAAATAAATTCATATCTGCATGGAAAACATGTTATTATGTTTGTGTCAATCCGTTTTATCTTTTATTAAAACCCTGAAGTCTAACCAGGTATGCACAGAACACGAATTAAGGGGAAAGAATAGAACAGAGACTTGCCTGAAATTTCAGAGTTTGAAACTGTAAATCACCGTCTCTGTAATATGTTTGGTTCCTAAATCGCAAGTCTGCTCCTCCAGTGCCTTGGTTCAACCCAAAAACACCTCTCCTTCCTCCTTCTTGGTCCAAACTTAATCCAGACCAAAACCTAGACCTCCTCTTTTTATCTTCCTCTCTGTCTCTCAATATCTCACTGTATCTTTGTTCTACCGAAAACCTACGTTTTGTGTTGTATTGTTTTAAACCCTAATCCACTGTAATATACATATATATAGGTTTAGACATTAAACCCTAATCCATATATAACCCGGCCCATATGTAAACCTAGGTTACAAATCAATGACGGCTGCTTATGAAAATTATAAACCCAATGAAAAGCTATATAACAGTCACGTTGAGAACCAACTAAATCAACTATCACAAAATTAATCCAATTAAAATAATTAAATAAAACAATTAACTCAATCAAATTATTCAAGTAAATAATTAAAACAAATCTAAGTAAATCATTTATTTAAAAATAAATACACACTTAAACAATTAAACAAACCAAAACACATAGCTCGCATATTAAAAATGCAATAAAACTCAAAATTATCAAAATTAAATTCCCATTCTATCCTTTTGAAAACTAGGGGTATTACAATCATGGTTAGGGTGTGTATATTGCCAGGGATGTGTAGCTAGATATAGTGTAGTTGTGTACCCTGGTAGGTCTAAGCACTCATACCCACTATATGTGCGTTTTGCATGTTGCCTATTATTCAGGTTAAGATAACCCTATAGTCTAGTGAGGTTCCTTTAGTATGTGTGTGTGTGTTTATGGGCCTGACTCACAGTTATTTTTCAGATGTTCATCAGTTCCAGGCTTAGGGATTATTTGTGTCGAGCAAAGACGATCTATTCACTCATCCGTCTTAACGTAGGATTTCCTTATTATTGTTTTAGTCAAATATTATTTTATTTCAGTTGGATTTTGGATTAGGGGTCCACTAATGGATTTTCAAGTTGTAATTGTAATTAATTACTGGTATCAGAGGATTTTGTTATTGGAGGTTTATTATTGGATTAATTATTTTAGTTTCTTTCAGTTTTATTATTTATTCGTAAATCTATTTTGTATTCCGTGCTTGTTAAATACTTTAATTGTTTGATATTCCATCGGGTTTGAGCTTGGGTCTGATCAAACCATGTCTCGGAGTCGAAAGGTATCACAACTACAATCAACAGGATTTGGCAAGAACGCAAAGAGCGAATCTTCAAAAATAAAAAAAGCAATCAAGTCATAATCTTTAGACAGATCACTGATTTGGTAAGGCAAAAGCTACTAACTACATTGGTTAAAGACTCACTGTTTGCAAGAAGGTTGAAGCTTGAATTAGATTTGCCGGCATTCATCAAACCACCACCTGAGCCGGTGGATCGAACTGATTAGGGTTTCACACCCTTTTGCTCTACACCGGTTGTGGGTATGCCTTAGACGAGAATAGTTTAATTCGCCCCAGACTAGTATTGTCTCTGTTGTTATACTGGGCCTCCTTATGAACTTGTTACTTGTGGATTGTACAATGTTTTACGAGTGGGCTGTCCACGGTTTGTGGGCCTGTCACTCTTTTGATTTTCTTATGTAAATATTGCAGTAATTTATAAAATCATCCTTACTTTTTTTTAAAAAAAAAAAACTATATAATCCATGTCCAACCCAAATGATCTATGTATTTCTAAATAACTTTTTTTTTTTTTTTTTCCTTGACAAATTAGGAGGTGGGTTATTCAAACATGGCCGCGCCCACTCGGGAGCTGTACGTTGTACCAACTAGGCTATTGAGTAATGTCAGTATTTCTAAACAACCTATGACGTACTAAAATACACTCATTTCGGTGATGAATCTTTTACGGCCTTTGATGCATTTGAAAATCTATTAAAATTAGTAATAAAAAAAGAATAATTATTCTATGGACTTGATCTTGGGTCATACCACGAGTTACTTTATGCCACATTAAAAACAATCGAATTTGGAGTTGTATTGGGTCATGCTCACTCCTTTGCAACTAAAATATTGTTGAAATTTCTAATTGTTTTGATATTTGAATACTGCATATCTAGTTTTACTTTTATATTTAATTATTAAATATTTGTGATAAGGTTTTTTCACTCTACAATTTTACTCATGATCCTTTTTTATTTTCCAAATTGAGTCAAATTTAAGCTTTGGGTTATGGACTTTGATCCTCTAAATTAAATATTTTCTAAGTTATCGTAAGTTAAATTTCATACAGATTCATGACATTTAAAATCTATTACTTGCTTGTGTTAAATCACGTCAACTAATTAAAAGAAAGTTTTAAAACAGCACCGTTTTGAGATAAGAAAAATTTACAAAGTTTAAAAACTGTACCGTTTTAAATTAAGGTAAGTTTACCATACTTTAATGACGTTATTTCTCCCTTTATCTTCTTTAAAAAAAAAAAAATACTCCGTCACTCTCCCCTTGCTCATTCCCACTATTGGGGGAATATTTCGCTCCAAAAATGAATGTGCTTTGCCATGGAATTAAAATGGACAAAAATGTGATTGCAAGACATGCAACTTTTACTACAATAGTAATGATTGGAAACAAGGGCGGTCCTAGGATTTCTCGTTGGGGTGGGCTAATATTGGGCTGAGTTGACTTGGGCTTGATTGGGTAGACTAATATATAGAAAAGATAAGAGAGAACATAAGGTTAAAAGAGAAATAGAGACCATGGGACTTGTTTAATATAGGAATAAGGAGAGAATAAGGAGAGATAACGACGTTAAACATACTTAGAGTATGGTGAATTTTTTTTAATTCAAAACGGTAGAGTTTTTAAGCTTTGGTAAATTTTACTTATCTCAAAACAGTGCAGTTTTCAAACTTTCTTTAAATTAGTTGACATAGTTTAACACCAGCCACATATATATTTTAGATGTCACGTGTCAATTTATAAAAAATTCAATTTAAAATAACTTAGAAAATATTTAGCTCAGAGAATCTAAGTTCATGGGTTATATATGTATATTTTTTTTACTCTTTAGGGTTCATATTGGTTAATCTCAAATTGACTCCAACCATGTATCTATCTGCCTGAGTAATTTATTTTTATTTTTTTTCAGTTTCTCTATCGCAAATTGCAAACCATGCATGTACTTTAAATAATTTTTTCTTTCCCTTCTCGGCTTCTCTCCCTAACATGTCCTTAAATTCCGAAACTACCCTTTTCCATTTTAAACCCAGGTCCCCTTCCGTTCCCCCAAGTCCCTCCGTCGTGTTACGTTGCAGAGCTCTCTCTCGTCTCTCTTTTTATCTCTCTAGAACAGTATATATCTCTAAGATTCGTCAATTCCAATCCCACCGACCTCAACCATGACTCTGATGACTCCTCCACCATTAGATGTAATTGTTCTCTCTCTCTCTATCTATCTCTCTCTCTATTTTCATTTTTATGTATACACGTTTACTATGTTTACTCTTTTGATGTTTTTCGCTTTCGTTCACTACTTTTTCTCTCTCGTTAAATTATATCCAATTCCGATCTTTAAACAATTCGTTTTTTAATTTTGATTATCGACCTAAATTGTAAGATTTTCTCGCATAAATGGCTAACTTTCTAGGGTTTTGATTGATAAACTTATCGATTTTATCAGATCCAAAATCTCATTTTGGCATTTGTTTTTGCAGCAAGAGGACGATGAGATGCTCGTGCCGCATTCGGATTTTGTCGCTGAAGGCCCCCAACCCATGGAAGGTATTGCTTTTTATTTATGTCGTCTGAAATTTCCATATTTTATGCTCCTGCTCAGCTTCAATAGAATCAAGACAATAGATATATATTAGCAATATATTAACTTGATTGTCGCATTTTGATGTTTTTGTTTTGATTTTGTTTTGTTGTTGGCAAAATCATTGTTAGTTACACCAGCAGAAACTGCTAATACAGTAGATGCTCAGTCAGTTGATGATCCACCATCAGCGCGGTTCACATGGACAATTGATAACTTTTCAAGGATGAATACTAAGAAGCTCTACTCCGAAACTTTTTATGTAGGAGGATACAAATGGTATTTTGTTTCTAAACTCTTTCTAGATTTGGGTTGAATCAACGCTGCAGCTTGTTTTTGATCATTCTGATCCGCCTTTAAGATTTTTGTTGTGTTGTATGGTGGGTGGCAGGCGAGTGCTTATATTCCCGAAGGGGAACAATGTGGACCATTTGTCAATGTATTTGGATGTTGCGGATTCTGCAGCTTTGCCATACGGGTGGAGTAGATACGCCCAATTCAGCTTAGCTGTGGTCAATCAAATCCATAACAAGTTCACGGTGAGGAAAGGTACGGTGTTTATGTCATTTTCGTATTTACCGTTCTAGGAAGACTATGTAATTTGTTTTAGGAATTTCTATATATCCTGTATACATGTAATTAAAATTTTTACGCACAACATAGCACAAGACAAATTTTTGTTGGCAGAATTTGTGCTTATTTGTTGCTTTACGTTATTACAAGTTATTGTTACCTGTGCATTTATTTTCTACATTAAGTTTTTATTATGTGTAAATTATTATCTTTCCGCACCAAGTTTCACTGCATGTTAGTGGGTTCCTATCCCAGGTAAGAAATTAATTTGAAGTTTAAAGAAAGTTGGATCATAATATATTTATATGATTAATATGTATATCCATATATACACAGTTATTTACAAATGTGTGCATTTAGCTAGCAAAAGAATGTGAAAGACTTGATATCTGACATACTAGACTTATCTTGTCATGGAATGATTTCTTTATCATCATTGTCGTTGTCATCATCATCCTCCTTGCCTCAGTCCTAATCAAATGGAGTTTATGACATTACACTCTTCCTTAGTAGGAGCTACTACTCATATTAGGAGTATAGTATTTAATTTCTTGGGATATTTTCTTATTATTTTTATCCATGTTAGTTCTGGTTTGCTTCTTTCCTCTTATCTTCTATCTTTACTAGTGTTCTTTACGTATTGATGCACTGATGGTTTATGTTGTAAATGTTCTTACCACCTAAGCTTACTTTCTCATAATTTTCCACTAATAAGCGTTGCTCCTAAATTTCTCTAATTCATTGATTATTTATCCTCCCTCTTTTAGTTATTGCTATCATCTCTCTCAATATTCTCATTCAACAATATAGGTACTACCTTTTTTTTTTTTTTTTTTTTCTTGAATTACTTTGACTAACCCTCAGGTTTTTCTTTATTTCTCATGGATTACTCTTGTGAAAGAAAATTGGTCAACCTCCCTTGAATGACCTCCCTGCTGTTAGTTGACCGTTGGGCACTTTAAAAGTCGATTAATTTGAAAAACTAAAATGTCAAAACTACCCTTTTGTTGCAAAATGACCAAACAAGCCTTGCTCAGTCTTTTAATCTTAATACTGTGGACCTTTATACCCTCACATATCCATAACATTACAATGAGTTTACAGATTTTCTCTCTCATCAGAAGTTGAAGGAAGATTTTTTTTTTCTCTCTCTCTCTCTCTCTCTCGTTTTACGTACTCTCTTTCTATTTGCACCTATTTCTCTCGGTTTACAGTCTCTTTTTCTGCACCTCTCTCTCTCTCTCTCTCTCTCTCTCTCTATCTCTCTCTCTCTCTTTGGGCACCGACATAGTCCTTGGCAACATTGGTTCATTGATTGGTAAAAGGAAATTGATTAACAGAAAATTTTGAATATTCTCTACAAGCGTCCAAAATATGTACTACTTATTTTGATTTAATGGTTAAGCTATTTGTAAAATATTTAATTCTTCATAAATTATGCAATCAAAGGGTGGTTTTCAGTGTTTCTAACATAGTTGTTAAAGGATCAACGCGCACTAAGGCGCCAAAGGTCTTCTAGAGCCTAAGCGCAAGTCGCAATATAAGGCGTGAGCCTAATTGAAGCAAGGCGCTTATGTAATAATAGTGCATATTAATTGTTAGTATGCAACACAAACTTGTTAATATCAAATCACGATTTTTTTCTTCAGCATATCAAGTCAATGGAATAGCTAAATCAACGTTCATATATCTTTTCTATTTGCATATGAATTCAATAAATGTCCAATTGCAACAATTCAAGATATGCGATACAAATATTATAAAATTCTCAAAAAATTCTATTTTGTTATTTGCTCTTTCATATGCATATGCATTAACAAAATTAAACGTGATTACAAAATCTGAAACAATAAAAGACTAAAATCATGCAAATTTTAAGCATATATTATCATATATATTCGGTATCAAGCTATGATATAGAACATTTTAATTTAGTAGTCACTAAATAAAAAAGAAAATGATATGAATAAATGATTAAAAAATAAAAAGGCTCTTTTTTTTTTTTTTTAGACTAAAGCCTACCAAAAAGCGCGAGCCTGAGGGCTTTATGTGAGCCTTGTTGAAGTGGCTTGGCCTATACTAGGTTGAGGCGCTCTAGCTGAGCCTTGGCTAGCCCGGGGCTTTTTTGGAACCTAGGCGCGCCTTTAACAACTATGGTTTCTACAAATTTGCCCTCTATTTAATTTAGTGGATTACCGGAAAATCAGCAAAGATAGTTTGATATAAATGAAACTTAATTGGGCAAATCGATCATTAACTAAGAAAATCTTAAATTACATTTTCCTTTTACTGAAGAGAAATAAAGAAAGTTTACAAATAAGACATTAATCAACTAGAGTTTCATAAGGTCAAGTAGTTATTGACTATGCTGTACTTCCCCATAGAATTTGAAAAAATAAAAATAAAGATCCATCTGGTTACTGAGAAAATAAAGTTCAGGCTTTTCTTTTTCGAGTTTACATTACCCTGACAGAGCTCGTGAGAGTAGGGCATGGTTTGGTCCTTCATTGGTATAGACTATGCTGATCTTCTCTGCAATCATTAAATTGCAATGATATCTTCGGTGATTTCGAACAAAGGTGATGATGGTAGTATTAGGGTTACAAAAGAGGTGGAGTGATGATGTTAGTATTAGGGTTTCTGAGACTAAGGGAGACGAAGGGTTGCATTTGTGAGATGGAGTTAGTGTTAGGGTTTGTGAGATTGTAATGTAGAGAGAGAGAGAGAGAGAGAGAGAGAGAGAGAGAGAGAGAGAGAATGTCGTTTTTGAGATGGCGGGATATGATGTCAAATACATCATATCAAGGGCAAAAAAAACTTTTCCTTGAATAGGGTTTATTGTGTCAGCTTGATGCATGCATTAGGGTAATTAAATAAAAGGATATAATTGTAAAATCCAGTGTACCATTAAAAAATCTAATGCCTCCTAACTCTGACAGGGTGTGAGGGTTATTTTTTAAAAAAATTAATGCGTGGGTAATAATGGAGAACCGAGAACCTAAGGGGGTGTTAGAGTAATTCACCTTTTTTTAGTAAATAAAATGGTCAACATTTTGCTCCTTATAAGATAGGTGGCCTAGTAATTATTCTATTGAATTTACTTTTTAACCTATTTATACCAGTCCTATTTGTTATATGATGATCCATTTCTCCATCTTTTGTATTATTACTACTAAATGCTGAAAATGGTTATTTTGAGTAATCCTTTGACCTCGAATGGTTATTTGTCCATCTTTCGTTGGATGGACTGCAGTTGTAGGAAAAATCTTGACCATCTGCATCTTTTTGTGCTGCTTGAATAAAATTACTGAGTGTTGGGGTTTTGTTGATGGCTGCATATGAATAAAACAAATCTAGAGGCAGGAATGTTAACCTGGCAATTTTGTTGTAGGTATAAATCTTGCCTCCCTTCTCTGCAAATAAACAGTAAAAAGAATAAGTGGATAGGGCTTGGAACCATTAGATATGAAAATGATCCACCCTAGTGTCATTTGCCTCTTTTTACTATGCAAATCTGCAGTCACATTCTGCACATGATTTAAATTAGAAATTTAGTGATTTTTTGGTGTTATGTTAAACTAAAACTGCTACTTGGCTAAGCAATTTGGTGTTATAAAGATAAATATAAATGGAACAAAGAAACAAATTATGAAGCATGAAGTGATGAAAACCCAAAAATTTATTAGTTTATTGCGAAAGCATGAAAAGAACATTGCTGGAACGTCAGGATTTATCCATGTAGAGCATTAATAATGATTTAACTGATTACAGTCCATCAAAAAGATGTTATAACTTGATCTGTACTAATAAAGAAAATTGTAATGAATTTGGGATTAAGCCAAAATTGGAATGCCTTTAACTATCTTGTTCCTTGTTGCACTGTGTATGAAGTTGGAAACAATATGGATGTTTTCTATGTGTTCCAAAATAGGAAGTTTATATGTTTCATTTTCTTATCATTTGTGGATGTCAGGTGACCTTAGTTGTAGAGTTGTACTCACACCAGGAACACTAAGAGTGGACTTATCATGGTAGAGCAGAGCAATGGTTCTCTAATCCACACAAAGGATGTTAGGCACCCAGGCGTCGCTCAGGCATTGCATAGGCGAGAAAATAGATGTTACTGATTAGATATCTGCTTTTTTACGTTCACCATAAAGCATAAACCTGCTATGCAGATTAGTTTCCTACACATTGCATTTCATTTCTAAACCGGCTGTCATCACTCTTTTCCACAGTGTACTGTTTTCATCATTACACTGCCATTTTCCCAGCAATGCTGACTAAGTTTTGTGAATGTTCTAATCTCCAGCGCCTCCTCACTTTACAAATAGTATCTCTTTTGTCAGCTCAGGTTGATTCTAGTCTAGTCTCCCTTGCTTGTGCCTGTGGTGATAAAGCTGAAAAGAATCTCAAATTCTTACAAACAAACAATGTGACGAGCCTTGAGAGGATAGTGTGTATAGTTCCTGATTATGCTTCTTGTGCACATGGGTTTAATCCCTTTTGGTGCTTTCTTGATACTCTTTCACGTACCAAATGGAAGAAGAGAAAAAAGCTTGTGTGATTATGGGTAACTAACAGTTGCTTATGCAGATAGTGAGATTTTAAAAAACACGCCCTTTCTCTACTCTTTTAGTTATGGGTAATGCCGAAATTGTCTATTACTGAAATACGATTTCATGTTGAATGGTATGGGATTTATTTTTAAATTAAAAATATTCAGGTTAGGATTTGCCCCAATAAATGCTATATTTAATTCAAAACTGATTTTGGCCGTGATGCATTGCAGTGTGGTTACTAGACGGTGAATTTTTTAATTGTTTTTGTTTGATGTTTGGTAAGCAGGGAAGGGGGCATTACTTGTTCATCAATAGATAGGCAGATAAATAAATAAGAAATAGGGGAGGGGGAGGTTGTGGAAAATTACAGTGGAAAAACACTATTTATTGATGTTTTAATATATTAAAAAACATGTTATTGTTTATGATGCAGTGCTTGATAGCTAGATGTTGACTTTTCTTCTTATACCCCTTTTCCTATTTTTACCTTATCTGTATGTTTTATATGTTGAAAGCATAGGCAAGGGCCTAAGCTTGACATCCACCGGTCTTCTAGGTGTTGCCTATAACCTCTGAACTTGTGTGGTTGAATTACTACTTCTGTAATAAATGTGATACCATTTACTATGCAGACACCCAACACCAGTTCAATGCACGAGAAAGTGATTGGGGTTTCACTTCATTCATGCCTCTTAGTGAACTATATGATCCTGGTAGAGGCTATCTTCTGAATGATACTTGCATTGTTGAAGCTGATGTTACTGTCCGTAGAGTTGTTGATTACTGGTCACATGACTCAAAAAAGGAGACCGGCTACGTTGGACTTAAAAACCAAGGAGCTACTTGTTACATGAACTCTCTACTCCAGACACTGTACCATATTCCTTATTTCAGAAAGGTTAGCAAATTCTCTCTACTTCCCTCATTGATGTTAATTCATGATGAATCTGCTATCCGTAACTGTTGATTTCAGGCTGTGTATCATATGCCGACAACTGAGAATGATATGCCATCAGGGAGCATCCCTCTGGCGTTACAGAGTTTATTCTATAAGCTCCAGTATAGTGACACGAGTGTATCAACTAAAGAGTTGACAAAGTCATTTGGATGGGACACGTATGATTCTTTCATGCAGCATGATGTTCAAGAACTAAATAGGGTTCTTTGTGAAAAGCTTGAAGATAAAATGAAGGTATAATATAGGGGTTTAATTCATCATACAGTTAAAGCTTTATTGCTCATTTGCAAGGTTTGATTGAATGTGGTCTTACTGGCTCAGGGTACTGTTGTGGAGGGTACAATACAACAGTTATTTGAAGGACACCATATGAACTATATTGAATGCATCAATGTGGACTACAAATCGACAAGAAAGGAGTCATTTTATGGTACTTGTTTTAGATTACTGTCACATGGCCATATTATCTGAGATGGATTTTGTGTGCCTTACTGACTAATATGTGTTTTTGAACTTAGATCTTCAGCTTGATGTGAAAGGCTGTAGGGATATTTATGCTTCTTTTGACAAGTATGTTGAGGTGGAACGTCTTGAAGGTGATAACAAATATCATGCTGAACAACATGGATTACAGGTTGGATTCCCTATAAACCTGCTGACTTAAATTGTCAACTTTAGATTATTTCTGATAGAATTTTATCTTAATCAACATAGTGGTCGGTACAATATTTTGAGTGCTTGATTTAGTTGAGCTAAGATATTTACTACAATTGGGTGATTTATTTTATTGCTATTATTGCTGAGTAGTTTGTTGTTTTTCTGTTTTCTGTTTCTAGGGCACGATTTCTGAGTACAATAGTGTGAATATCCGTCTCTAGACGAAATGCTAAGATATATTTACCTTTTCAGGATGCCAGGAAAGGTGTTCTTTTCATTGATTTCCCCCCTGTCCTTCAACTTCAGTTAAAGCGGTTTGAATATGATTTTATGCGGGATGCGATGGTAAAGGTTGGTAACTGAATCATTAATTCTTGGATATCGTGATGCATATTTTAATATTGTGCACAATTTGCATTGCCTGTTCAATTTGGTGAGCATTTGTGTTGTTTATGCTACAAAGTGCATTAAGTTTTACAATTTGAATTATCTACTGTCTTGCTTTGTTTGTGAGCTCTTATGCACAATTTTTACTGTTATAAGAAAATATGATTTACCTGACCATATTTGGTAAATACAACAAGATGAATCATGGTTTGACAACACAATTTTATACATGCAACAATGCAAAAAAAAGTTTGGAAGTATTGGATAGGGTGTTTCATCTCTGAAGGTCCGTGTGGCCTTTTTTATTTTTTTCTTTCCCCTTCATTTCTTTGGGTGAATGGGCTAGTATTGTTCAAGGCATGCAAGGTAGACTGTATTTGAACAAATTATATCGGTGCGTTAAGTTTTACAGTTTTTTTTTTTTTTTTTTTTTTCTTTCATTGGCAAGAAACACAGACACACCACTCACACACCCACTTTGCCGCTTTGGGAACTCGAACCCTCACCATCCACTTTGGGAGGTAGAGGAGATACCACTAGGCCTCAAGGGCCTTGGTAAGTTTTATAGTTTTGAGTTTCTTTCATGTGTTAGTTCTTACTTATTCACAAATTTCCATGTTACAAGGAAATAATGATTTACTTTTCCATATATGGTGAATAAAAAATGACGAGGCATGCTTGCACAAATCCAAGCTTATACGTGTGGCAATGCAAATAAGGTTTTAAAGTTCTCTTAGAGGGGTGTTTTATCTGTGACAGTTCGTGTAGCTTTTTGTTTCCTTGGGTGAATGCATTTGTCATGTTCTTTACATTGCATTGAGGATTAACAATCTATTCAGTCTGGAAATTTTTCTCTTGCCATATGCATTATATATGTTGGTCGTTGAGCATATTGAAATGAGGATTGCTCTCTCATTTCCAATTGCGTCTTATTTATTTGTTTGATTTTTGTCCATATTCCTTGTTTCTGTGCTTATATTTTTCATGTTTGGGCAGCACCCAAATTGTTGTTTCCTTTTACCTTGTGTCTCACCTAAAAGTTCAAAGATAGCGGGCGTATAATAAGCTGAGAGAATCTAGAGTTGATTGCACTAGTTTCCTTTTCAAAATTAGTTCTTTTAAGCTGTGAAATTTTTTGGATGTTCTGTTTTCAATCTTGGTAGTTTGCTAATTTATGGGAGAGATTGAAAGCAGAATATATAGCAGTAAAAATTCAAGTGTTGCTATGTCTATTTTTCACTTTGAATGTGGCACCAATTATAAAGAAAACTTATGCCTCAAGTGCATTTTTTCTGTTTAAGAAAATTTTGAAGGATGAATGTTTTTTTGCTTTGAGGGATGTATTTACATTTTGATATTATATTTAATCCATTCTAATGTAGTTACACCTTGTTTACTGAGGGATAGTTTGAAACTAGGACTTTTTAACTTCTGGATTTAGTGAGAGATAAAGTTTGAAAGACTACATACAGGTGCTGACCGGGCGAATTGTCAAGGGGTTGAAGAGTTCAGCACTATATGTATTTTAGTATGTATAGCTACATTTGGAATAAAGTATTGAGGTATCCTTGCCTCCATTTTGGTGAACATCTAAAAGATCCACAGATCAATTCCACCTTTAGCATGATCAGAGTCCATCATAGATATAAAGTCAAATGCATTGATACGTATGCTCGATATTTTGGTTCTATTCTTCTTTTGATTCCATGAAGTTGATTGGTTCTTTGTGAATGTCCATTGCTTAGGGGTGTTCAAAAAATCTGGTAAACCGAAAAACCGGACCGGACCGTACTGAATTGGGCGGTTTGGGCTAGTTGTATAGCGGTTTGGTCTGGTCACGGGCCCAAAATTATGAAACCGTAATTCTTCGGTCTGGTCTTGGTTTAGAGTTGTGTCGGACCGGACCAGCCCGGACCGAACCGTTACTATGTTATATAATATATATATTTATATATGTATATCATATTCTAAACGTAAATCAAGTAAAGTTCTCATGTGCCCCTTTTCTTTCTTTTGTTCTTTAAATTCCTTAAATTTCTTTTAAAAAATGGGGGGTGCACATGGTGTGTCTTCAAGAAACAAAGATTGATTCTTTGTCTGATCGGGTGGTGAAAAGTCTGTGGGGCAACCGCTTTGTTGAATGGGAGGCGTTGGATGCTGCTGGGACTTCAGGAGGTGTTCTTATTATGTGGGATAGGAGATGGCTGACTAAAGTTGATGTTTGCAGAGGGAGATTTTCCTTATCTTGTGCTTTTGTGATGGAGGAGGATGGCTTCACTTGGGGTTTTTCTGGGGTGTATGGGCCGGTTGATGATGTTGAGAGGGATGGTTTGTGGGAGGAGTTGAGTGGGGTGAAGGGGAGGTGGTCTCTTCCTTGGTGTATGGCAGGTGACTTTAATGTGGTTAGATCTCCGGCGGAGAGGTCTACAGTTGGCCCATGGACCCAGGCTATGATGCACTTTTCTGATTTTATTGATGGCCACCAGCTTATTGATCTCCCCCTTGAGGGAGCTTCCTTTACTTGGTCCAGCGGAAGGGAAGTTCCAACTCTCTCGCATTGATAGATTCTTGATTTCAGGTGAATGGGAGGAGAAATTCCCGGATGTTGTTCAGGCAGTTTTGGCTAGGGTGACATCGGATCACATTCCTTTGGTTTTGGATTGTGGAGGTTTGAGACCTCGCAGTACTCCTTTCAGATTTGAGAACATGTGGCTTCGTGCGGTTAACTTCCAGGAACTTGTCCATTCTTGGTGGGAGGAGAATCTGGTGGTGGGTACATCGAGCCATATCCTTGCCGGAAAGCTTCGGATCTTGAAAACAAATCTTAAAAGGTGGAATAAGGAGGTATTTGGGAGCTTGGTGTGGAGGAAGAATAGGGCTTTGGTTGATATTGCGGAGATTGATCGATTGGAAGGGGAGGGTGCTATTTCGGAATCTCAACGCAGTAGAAGAGCAGCTTGCCAGGCAGAATGTGTGGAGATTGCTCTTTTGGAGGAAATCTCGTGGCGTCAGAAATCTCGGGCATTATGGCTCAAAGAGGGGGATCGTAATACGAAGTTTTTTCACAGAACTGCTAATGCTAATAGGAGGAGTAATCACTTTGGGCGGATGTGTGTGGATGGTGCAGTTTTGTCTTCGGAGGAGGAGGTGCGAAGTGCTATTGTCTTTTTCTATCAAGGACTTTATTCTGAGCCTCTTCGTTGGAGACCTCGTCTAGATGGTCTTCACTTCGATTCTATTTCTGCCTTGGAGAGAGATGGGTTGGAAAATTCTTTTTCGGAGGAGGAAGTGCTGAAGGCTTTAAAGAGTTGCAATGGTGATAAGGCTCCAGGTCCAGATGGTTTCACGATGAGATTTTTGCTGGAAAGCTGGGAGGTGGTCCGATATGAGTTTATGGGCACTTTTCATGAGTTTCATTCCACGGGGCGATTTGAGAAATCGCTTAATGCATCTTTTATTGCCCTTATTCCTAAAAAGGGTGGTGCTTCTAATATCAAGGATTTTAGACCCATTAGTCTGATCGGGTGCATTTACAAGATCATTGCAAAAGTCCTTGCCTTTAGATTGAGGGAGGTCCTGGATGGAGTTATCTCTGAGTCTCAGAATGCTTTCGTTGGGGGTAGACAGATTTTGGATTCCGCTCTTATTGCTAGCGAATGTGTGGATTCTAGACTTCGTAGTGGGACTCCTGGTGTTCTGTGCAAGCTGGATATTGAGAAAGCCTATGATCATGTTTGCTGGAATTTCCTGTTCTATCTGTTGGAGAGGATGGGTTTTGGTGAGAGATGGAGGAAGTGAATTGTTTCTTGTGTTTCCACTGTCAGGTTTTCGGTGTTGGTGAATGGCTCTCCTTCGGGATTCGTTGGCAGTTCTCGTGGGTTGAGACAGGGAGACCCTCTCTCCCCTTTTCTTTTTATTATTGTTATGGAGGCCCTTAGCAGGCTGATGAGAAGGGCGGTGGATTTGGGTTTTCTTAGGGGTTTCAAGATTGGCCCTGAATCAGTTCAGCAGTTGGAGATCTCTCATTTACTTTTTGCGGATGACACTATTGTTTTTTGTGAGGCTGATATTTCCCAGTTGAGGTATCTGCGATGTGTCTTGGTTTGCTTCCAGGCTGTTTCTGGTTTGAAAGTTAACGTGGGAAAGAGTGTGATTGTTCCTGTGGGGGAAGTTCAGGAGGTGGACACTCTGGTTGTTGTTCTAGGATGTGGGACGCAACGCTTTCCCATCTCGTACTTGGGTTTGCCGCTGGGGGACTCGGCTAGGAGGGTGGGAAGTTGGAACCCGGTGATTGAGCGGGTCGAGAGAAGATTAGCGGGTTGGAAAAAACAATATCTGTCAAAGGGCGGTAAAGTTACGTTAGTGAAGAGCACTTTGTCAAGCCTTCCAACGTACTTTCTCTCGCTTTTTCGTATTCCAGCCTCTATTGTTGGAAGAATAGAAATGCTCCAACGTAATTTCCTTCGGGGGGGTTGCGGAGAAGAGTTCAAGTATCATCTTGTCAAATGGGAACAGGTTTGCAGGCCTATTCGGTTGGGAGGGCTTGGAATTAGGAGATTGGCCACTTTCAATTGTGCTCTTCTTGGTAAGTGGCTTTGGAGATTTGGTAAGGAAAGACATAGATTATGGAGAAAGGTTATCTCATGTCGCTTTGGGGAGGAGAGAGGAGGGTGGTCAGCTGGATCAGTCAGGTCTGTTGGCGGAGTGGGGGTGTGGAGGGCCATTGGTAAGGGGTGGGATGCCTTTTCCAAACATATTAGATTCAGAGTTCGGGATGGAAGAACTATCCGGTTTTGGGAGGATCCATGGTGTGATGATAGGCCTTTGGCCCTTTTGTTTCCCAGGCTTTTTAGGATTGCTGTTGACAAACATGCAATGGTTGCTGACTATTATCGCCTTGATAGTGGAAGGTTGTCTTGGGATGTGCGTTTCCGGCGAGCTTTTCAGGATTGGGAGCTGGATGATGTCACTGGGTTTTTGGCTCTTCTTTACAGACAGGAGGTGGAGGGGTCTGGGGCAGATTCTTTGATTTAGGTGCCTTCTTCTCAGGGGATGTTCCAGGTCCGGTCCTTTTTTGTGTGCCTTTCTGGTTTTCATGGTACCTCATTCCCATGGAAGACGGTGTGGAGGTCTAAGGCACCTCTTAGGGTGGCCTTTTTTGTGTGGACTGCAGCTTGGAATAAGATTTTGACGTTGGACAACTTGAGGAAGAGAAGATATATCATTGTTAATAGGTGTTGTCTTTGCAAGATTAATGGGGAGTCGGTGGATCATCTTTTGTTGCACTGTCCTGTGGCTCATGATTGTTGGAGTTTGATGTTTGGCCCGTTTGGTATTCATTGGGTCATGCCTCGGACATCTTGGGAGTTGTTAGATATGTGGAGGGGCCAATGGGTGGGGGCTCAGGTCAGAGTTTTTTGGAGGGTGATCCCTTTTTGTATTTGGTGGAGCCTTTGGAGAGAGCGTAATGGAAGATCTTTTGAAGGAAAGGAATCCTCCATTGGGGTGTTAAAATTTTCTATCATTTGTAATTTGTTTTGTTGGGGTCAGGGGAGAGACTACTCCTCTCTTGAAGAGATTGTTGACTTTATGAGTTCTTTGAATTCATAGGCTCCGTTTTGTCTTTGTATAGTTTGGGTCGCGTTCCCCTTTTTGAACGCTTTTAATTCAATTTACTTATCAAAAAAAAAAAAAAATTTCTTTTAAAAAAAGTCAAATTTTTCTTTTCAAATATATCTCAATTTTCTTTCCTTTCAAATATATCTCAATTTTCAATTTTCTTTCCTTTCAAATATATCTCAATTTTCTTTCCTTTATTTCTTATTAAAATTCTTTTTTTTGGCATGTTATATCAATGTTAGTTGATATATATATATAACTTTGCCCCCTCTAAATTAAAATATAATAAAAGGGTAATCAACTGAAACCGACAAACCAAACCGAACCAACCCGGTTTTTCGCGGTTTGGTTTGGTTTGGTTCCATGCACTTTATGGTTTGGTCTGGTTTCAAAAATGATGGAACCGTTATAAATGGTTTGGTCTCAAAATACTCCAAATCCGGTCCAAACCGGACCGTGCACACCCCTACCATTGCTTAACCCAAAAGTTGAATTCAGACCTAGGCCCTGTTGATAATGTCTAAAACTGAACACGGTCAGCAATTTTGAAAAATAAGCGTGTTTGTTAGTGATTTAGGATACCACTTAAAACATTAAGAACCCCTGAAAATTGGTCAAAATTTTAAGTGACAGTAGGATTGGCCAATTACCTTAGATTCAATTACCTTATGCTACATTTGGTGTACAGGAATGGAATGGAATGCAATGCAAGTGGGAATGGAATGAGAATGAGAATGGAATGGAATGACCATTCTCATTCTATTGTTTGGCTGTAAATATGAAATATGTAGGAATGGAATGATAATAATCATTCTAGTATTTGGTTGGACCAATTTAAAATTTAGAATGGAATAAATTTTAAATTGAGTTTTCCACAATATCCCTCATAGTTACTAATATATTAAATTCATAAAATGATATTCTTCTATAATTTTTTTTAAAAAATAAATGGTAGCAGTGGCGGTGGTGGATGGTGGTGACGATGGTGTGGAGGTGGAAAGCGATATGGTGTAGGTGGGGGTGTTGGAAGGCGGCGGCGGTGAAAGGCGACAATGGTGTTGGTGGAAGGAGATAGTGGTGTAGGTGACGGTGGTGGAAGCCAATGGAGGTGACTATGGTGGTGGTGAAAGGCGGTGACGGTGGTGGAAGGGGTGGCGATGGCGATGGCGATGGTGAAAGATGGTGGCGGTGGCGGTGGCGGTGGCGGAAGGCGATGGTGGTGGTGGAAGGCGGTGGTGGTGAAAGGTGGTGGTGGAAGGCGGTGGCAGTGGTTGTAGAAGGCGGCGGCGGCGGCGGTGGTGAAAGGTAGTGGTGGTGACAGTGGAAAAGGCGGCGGTGGCGGCGGAAGGTAGTGGCGGTGACGTTGGCTATGGTGGAAGGCAGTGGCGGTAGAAGGCGGTGACGGTGGTGGTGGAAGCGGTGGAAGGCGATAGTGGTGGTGAAAAGAAGTGGCGGTGGCAGTGGTAGTGGTGGAAGGTAGCAGTGGTAGTGGTGGAAGGTGGTGGCTGTGGTGAAAGGTGGTGGCAGTAGTGAAAGGCGACGGCGGTAGAAGGCGGTGACGGTGGCGGCGGTGGTGGTGGAAGCGGTGGAAGGCGATAGTGGCGGTGTAAAGAAGTGGCGGTAGCAGTGGTAGTGGTGGAAGGTAGAAGTGGTGGTGGAAGGTGGTGGCAGTGGTGAAAGGCGATGGCAGTGGCGGTGGAAAGCGGTGGGCGGTGGTGAAGTTGATGGCGGTGGTGGAAGTCGATGGCGGTGGTGGTGGTGGTGAAAGGCGAAGGTGGTTGTGGTGGAAGGTAGTGGTGGTTTTTTAACTTGGAACATGAGAGTTTTTTGGGAAGTTGATTTTTAAAAAAAAATTACTTGGGAATTGAATGGCCATTCCATAGGTTTAGTTGTGGAATGGATTTTCATTCCAATGGAATGAGTCGAATTACCATTCTCACTTTAAATTGCATACCAAACAAAGGAATGGTTGGAATGGCTATTCCATTCCTGCACGCCAAACGTAGCATTAGTGATAAGAAAAACTTAATCAACTCAGGCACTCCTTTTCACATATTTTTAACACTAAGATTTCTTGGATTGTCTTATGAATGGTAGATATGCTGATGACATTTTGCCTATATTTGTAAATTTCTGCCTAATAAGGTGTATTAGTGATTTTGCTTGTTCCTCTAATCAAACAGATAAATGACCGCTATGAGTTCCCCTTGCAACTTGATCTTGATAGAGAGAACGGCAAATATCTATCACCCGATGCAGACCGGAGTGTCCGCAATTTGTATACTCTCCACAGGTATTACTAATCCCAGTATGTTTGCATCTGTTGATTACGACTCCATGGTTTGTGTAATGCAATGAATAGCTTCACTGCTTTGTTTGGTGAGTTATTTGCTTTATTTTGTAAAATTTATTTGACTACTAGAACTGACTTTACTTTCTAATTCCTCCTCACCCCCCTTCAACCAACCCCCCAAGGGCAAGCAAGCAACTCACAAACCCATTTTGCTCCCTTGGGGCTTGAACCCTCAACCTCCTCTTGTGAAGGGGGAGGTTATACCACCCGGGCAATGGGGCCGGTGGTCTCTCTATTTCTCCTTTTCCAATGACCTAAACAGTAGGCACCCTAATATCAAATAGCAAAAAAAAGAGTTGCATTTGGTTTCATAGATGTAGAGAAGGCATATGATTGAGTGCCAAGGGACATGATTTGGTTGGCTCTACAAAGAAAGCAAGTACCTTCAAAACTTATTAATCTTATTCAGGATATATATAATGATACATTGACTAGAGTTAATACTAAATGCTGAGAAACTAGTGACTTCCCTATAAAGGTGGGACTACACCAAGGATCGGTGTTGAGTTCACAACTATTTGCAATATTATTATACGAAATAATGAAAGATATTCAAGAAGACATCCTATGGTGTATGTTATTTGCGGATGACATAGTATTAATAGATACCTCTAAGGAAGCCTTAGCAACAAAATTAGAAATATGGAGAAAGGCATTAGAATCAAGGGGCCTAAGAATTTGTAAAACTAAAACGGAATATATGACATGTAAATTTGATAAAGTAGAAATCGATACACTATATATATAGAAATTCAAGACCAAAGAGCTACTCAAAAGAACTCTTTCCGTTACCCAGGATCTATGGTACAAAAAGATGGGGAGATAGATGGTGATGTAGTAAGTAGGATTAGGAGCCGGGTGGACAAAATGGAGGCAAGCTAGTGGTATCCTTTGTGACAACAAACGAATACCAAATAAATTAAAAGGAATATTCTATAGAACGGTTATTAGGTCGACATTATTGTATGGAGCGAAGTGTTAGGCATCGAAAAAGACACAACTTCAACGCATTCATATGGTGAAAATGAGGATGCTACGTTGGATGTAGGAATCACTAGAATAGATGAGATTAATAATGGGTGTGCAAGGGGAACAAGAGGTATAGCCCCTATAAATGATAAAATTAGAGAAAGAAGACTTAGGTGGTATGGTCATATTCAACGTAGGTCCGATACTGCATCTATTAAAAGAGGATGTGTTGTTTGTTTAGAAGGCAAATGACAAAGGGGCCGACCAAATTTACATGGGATGAAGTAATTAAAAATGACTTAAAAAACTTAAATTTAAGAGAAGACATGGTGCATAATAGGAAAGAATGAAAAAGAGAATTCATGTGGCCGACCCATCCATATGGGGGATAAAGGCAAGGATGATGATGATGATTGATTGCAGTTCTGAGATTCTCTATTTTTTTTCCTACCCTACTTTCCACAAAAGGAACCTGTAATTTCCCAAATGAAACAAAGTTGCATTTTGTTTCTTTCTAACATCAGATTCAGGCAACCGAGCATCTACTGCAGTGAGCCTTCTCCTGGGATGAATTAAGTCTTCAGAACTCTGATTTACAGAACTTTCAAATAGTTAGCAAGCAACCTAAAGAACTAGATTGGATATACAGCATGAATTGGGTGTAAACTTTAATAATATAGAATTCCATTATTGATATGCCCCTCATCCAATGGTCCTTTTTTCTACTTCCGTTCAATGTGAATGAGATGTACATATTTCATCATCATCATCGTCATCTTTACCCTTATCCCATATGGATAAGCCTCATGAATTCTCTTTTTCTGTTCTTTTCTATCATATACCATGTCTCCTCTAATCTATATTTTTTAAAAATCATTTTTAATTGCTTGTTCCCATGTAAGTTTTTGGTCGGCCTCTTTGTTGCTTTCTCCTGGCAAACAAGTCTTCTTCTTCTAACGTTGCATCTTTGGTTTTACGTTGTACATGACTATACTATGTATGTCTACTTTTTCTTAATTTATCTTTAATAGATGCAATTCCTAGTTTTCCCTCACTCATTCATTACTTATCTTAGCTCTTGTAGTCTGTCGACAAAAGGTTCACCCTAAGATGACCATCTTATGGCTACTGAGAACGATTCAAATCAGATGGTTCTATTTCTCAATCTTTCTGACTTGCACCTACAGATAAAAGTTTGAAAAGATTGAAAAATCCAGTCATCTACAGCCAGTGGTGAAGGATTCCTCACTCCTATCATCCATCATAGCAACATCCTCATTACCGCTAACTGAATGCGTTGTTCTTATTTCTTTTTCAACGCCCAACACTCTACTCCATACAATAAAGCTAGCTTGAAAACAGTCCTATAGATGAAGTTTTCTTTTAATTTATTTGATAATAGTTTGTTGCATAGGATACAACTAGTTGCCACCATTTTGTCCACTGTTCTCCAATCCTACTCACCACACCACAATCTATCTCCCTTATTTTTGTAATATTGACCCTAAATAAGGAAAGTAATTATTTTGAGTAACTCTTTGGTTTTGAATTGTAATATTTATACTGTCAACTTCTGTTATTCTATCAAATTTACATTCCATGTATTCTACTAGTTTTACTACTTTTTAGGCCTTTTGCTTCTAAAGCCTTTCTCCATGTTTCTAAGTTTGTTGCTGAGGCTTCCTTATGAGCATCTAACAAAACTGTCATCTGCAAACAACATACTCTATGGAATGAGATGTACATGTTTTTTTAATGTGATATGTATATTTATTTATGTGATATGTATATATAGTTCAATCTCTAGATGGATAGCACTCGTCTTATTCCATAGAAACTTTTTCTTGGTTATTTACTTATTGATTTTATTGTTTATAATTTTTTCTCCTCAGTAGGTTTCTTTCTATTGTGCTATATTAATCATTCTCTATTACCAAACTTTTACGTTTTGACTTCCATAATAATGTTTACAATTTCTTTACTATACTGGCATCTGGTTGATGCTCTTCATACCGCAACTGGTATAATGCTTTGATGTTTGTTTGCAGTGTTTTGGTTCACAGTGGTGGTGTGCATGGTGGACATTATTATGCTTATATAAGACCAACGCTTTCTGATCAGTGGTATGCATATTTGTTTACTCTTTCTTTCTTTCTAAATCGTATCTTCTGGCACATGTGTATTGAATTTTTTGTTCAATGTTGCTTGGTGAAGCCTTTGAAGGAAAGTAAAGTGAAGGTCAATAAACTTACCAATGCTTTGCTGTATTTAGGCAACTTGGCTGATGCAACCACATCATTCTTTTCTGTTCTAATCCTTTTGTTATGAATTCCTATTTCTTTTTTTACTTGTAGGTCTTGATAAAGGTTCTTTTATTGCTGCGATATTGTTGTTTGGTTTCTCCTTATATTCACAAGCTGCATGCAGCTTATTTGCATAGTGAGCTTAAATGCAGTTTTGTGAATGGATTTGATGCAGTTGCGCATCTAGCTTTTACTTTATTCTTTGATTTGTTCTCATTTTGGTGCTACAGTGCATCAGCCTTTTCGTTATGTCATTCCTGTTAATTGTCAACATTCAATTGAACCTGGTTGCATTTAGGTTTAAATTCGATGATGAACGGGTAACAAAAGAAGACATCAAGAGGGCATTGGAGGAGCAGTATGGTGGTGAGGAAGAGGTAACAATTTTCAACATTTATTTTTTGAAGTTCCCTGCTTTGTGTAATCCTAATCCTACTTCTTTGATACTAATGTCTTTTCTTTTCAATTTTTATATTCAACAGTTACCACAGACGAACCCTGGGTTCAACAACTCTCCATTTAAATTTACAAAATATTCAAATGCATACATGCTTGTGTATATACGTGAAAGTGACAAGGAGAAAATAATATGTAATGTAGATGAAAAGGACATAGCTGAGCACCTTAGGGTAATAAATCTCTTGACCTCATTTTAATGTTTTTGATGTTTTGCCAAATAAGTTATACTGAACCTGCATGACATTCCAGACAAGGTTGAAGAAAGAACAAGAAGAAAAGGAGCAAAAGAGAAAGGAAAAAGCAGAGGCGCACCTTTACACTATTATAAAGGTTACAACTTTCTTTTTTCTCCCCCAAACTTGTTCTTGTCTATAAACTTTACATCTGTACCTTGTTATTGTGTACTAAATCTATTATTTTGTGTGCCTCTAGGTTGCTCGTGATGAGGATCTTCTTGAGCAGATTGGTAGAGATATATACTTTGATCTTGTGGATCATGATAAAGTCCGCAGTTTCCGAATTCAAAAACAGATGCCTTTTAACCTTTTCAAGGTATTAATTATTGTTATGCTTTATAATTGAAATTTGATAGGTTTTGATTTGTTAATGCAGTGTAAGGTGCTATTGTTAAAACTGAAAATCATGTGCTGAAAAATTTAATAGCTGAACTTTTAGTGCTGGATTGTAAGTGGTAATAAAAATTGAGATTTTTATTTTGAATTTTAAGTGTTTAGCATTCAATAATGGTGAAACCCCCATCACTTAAAATTTTATCCCATTTTAAGTAGCGCTTACCTTTTTAAGTGGTACTCAAATTTCGTTATCAAACGCACTTAACTGGATGAGCACTTACTCCATTCATTTAGCTTTGTTTGGCATCTGGATGTCTATATTTGCCCCAACTATGGAAGCTAGCTTTTGAAGGGTTATACACGTTAGAAGTAAATAGAAAATGTTGTATACACATATTTTTTAATATATTTATGGGGTTGTAAGCATAGGGGTGGGACAGGGATAGGGCGACTTTGGCTTATTCTACCTGGTAAAAGTTTTGACTTTCCTCTAGATTTTTCTTTTCTCTTTTGACGCCGGAGTCTTCTACTCCGGCGTCTATAGTTCTCTTTCTTTTCTTTCTTGGTGTTGGATCTTTGGTTTCGACAGATCATGCTACGTTCGTATCTCAAAGTCGCGACCCTACCATGTCTCAATATTCACAGGAAGATCAAAAGTTGTTCAATTGATAGAGATGTGGTCCTTAGGGTTGATCATCAGAGCATTGCAGAACGTGAATCCGTATTGAAATCTTGTCTGGTTGGTCGTTTTGATCGTGATGTGGGGTGCACTAAAAGGATCGAGGAGTGGGCGACGAAATCTTGGCAAATCTCGTGTGGAGTAAAAGTTTCAACCCTACCTGACGGCATTTTTTTGTTCCGTCTACCATCGGAGGTCGAAGCTTACAGGGTTTTGAATGTGGGGAGGAAGAGATGGGGTGAAGCTTCCTTACACATCGACAAGTGGGATTTCGCGGTGGGCTACTCCGCTGTGGTTGATCGCGACAGGTTATGAAGGGTGGTGTTGTTCAGCTTGCCCCTCCATCTATGGTGCCACAAACTGATAGTAGCCATCGGAGACCTCTGCGGTGGGTTTAGAGGAGTGGAAGCGGATGATCAAGCGAGAGGCGAACGAGTTCTCCTTGTTTCTGCTGGAGCTGTGGTGCCGAAGTTTGTTTTTGTTGAAGACCAACGAGAAGCCTTCAAGATCAGTTTGATTGAGGAAACTTCACCTTGCATCCTTCCAAAATCCTATTATGGGTTTGGTGAGGCTTTTTCCCTTCCGTCTGATGGAGAATTCAACGGTGGGTGTCATCGGTATTTGCAGACTCAACTGAGTTGTCAAGGAAAGCGAAGAGCGTTCGCCAACGCACTGGCGTCGAGTGGGGTAGACAGATTTTCGAGGCGTACGCATAATGCCCGTCATCAACACTTTTCAAATCCTCATTTTGATCGCCTTGATGGTAATCAACCACGTGGGCAACCACGTGGCTTCACGAGTTTCATGCAGCGGACTCAGATGGGCGTAAGTATGGGCCTCTTTTTTCTGGGCTGAACAATGGGCTGTTTGGTTTTTATGGACCACAAGCTTCACTTAAAAGGAATGTTATGTGGAGACCCAACAATAAGCTATCCATTTCTTTCCTCAATGATAAGCCCAAACCACAGTTGCCCAAGTCCAGCCGAAACAATGCTAAGTTACGTATTGGGCCATTTGAAGACTTAAAAAGAATGGTTCATTGGGGCCCAATAATCAGAAGTCAGTTTCTTTTCTTAATACAAAACCCAGTCCAGCCACCGAACCAATTATTGATCATATTCAGGGTCGTCTTCCTCATGCTTCCTCTGTGAATTTTTGGAACTCACCGGAGAAGAGGAGATGGATGAAATTAAGTGAAGATGAGGCTGGTGTGGGAACAGACAAGAAGGGCTTTCGTCATCTACAGTGTTGCGCTGATTCTTCACTCAAGCCCCCTCCAGCTACAACTCGGATAATGGGAAGCAGCTCTAGACTTTCATCTCGGGATTCTTACAGAAGCAATTATGTTTATAGATGGTAGAGGAATGATAAACAGAAATGGACCTCCACTGACATGTCCTCTGTTTCTCATTCTCAGAGCTCCCTTAAAGCACTTTCTTCTTCCGCCCTCTCTGGAGAGGTGAGGGGCAATGTTGAGATGTCAATTGAGAAGAGTTGTGTTATGTCTGATGTGCCCTCGGCACTTGCTGAAGAGTTTGGGCTGGTTACAGAGACGACTGCCAGCGAAATTGTCACTTCAGGCCAAGTTGATTCACTCAATTGTGAAGTTCAGGACTCGTCAGATGGGGTCTTGGTCCGAGTTGGGAGAGACCTTCACTTTCAGCTGTCTAATGAGTCAACCATGACTTTGCTCAAAGAACTTCGCCTTTATGTTGCTTTGAAAGGTTTTAATAGCATATCATCTGACGGGGAAGAGGATAATAAATTGGTTAGTTTCTTGAGCAGTGGACTGGGAGACTGTATTGATTTTGACTCGTTTTCAGAGCCTTTTGATTTTGGAAGGGATTGTGATGAGGAGGTGGCTACTGATTTGGTTTCTATTTAAGAAGTCTGTTCTAACGAGTTTGTACCTTGGCTGGAGAATGATTTTTTTGAAGTGATAGAGGAGGAACCTTTGGCAATTGAGAAATCTGGTTGTTCAGTAACAAATATTGAATTGGGTAAGGATTGGATGATTGAAAATATAGGAGCTGCTAGTGAGTTGTTAGGTGTTTCTTCAGAGGGAAACAGTAACCAGACACTCTCCATCCTTCAAGCAATAGTAGAAGCCAGAGAGGTAGTTGTGACTGAAGAGGTAGTGAACCCGAGGCCTTTATCATCCTGGAAAGGGGCACAGGAGATCAAGAATCTTATCTCTAAAGTCAATTATGAAGGAAAGAAAGGGGTGGTGAAGGAGAGGGGAAGGACTAGGAGTTGGAGCGCGAAGAAAGGAGGGGGGTAGATTATTTTATCTGGTTTTTAATGAAGCTACGAATTATTTCTTGGAATGTTCGTGGTCTCAATGACCCGAATAAAAGGAGGGTGGTTAAGGTTGCTTTGAGGAAGTGGGGGGCCCAAGTTGTTTGTTTGCAAGAAACAAAGTTGGCATCCATTACGGATGGGGTGGTTAGGAGCTTGTGGGGAGGAAGGTTTGTTGAATGGGAGGTCTTGAATGCTACAGGTACTTCGGGCGGTATCTTAGTTATGTGGGATTGTAGATGGGTGTCTCGGTTGGATGTGTGGGCAGGGAGATTCTTAGTCTCTTGCAAGTTCAAATTGGAAGAGGACAATTTCAGTTGTGTTTTTACTTGGGTTTATGGACCAGTTGTTGATATTGATCGGCCTTTTTTCTGGGAGGAGCTTAATAATGCTAAAGAAATGTGGTCTCTTCCTTGGTGCTTGGGTGGAGATTTCAATTCTGTTAGATTCCCATTAAAGAGGTCCACAGGAGATAGGAGGTCTTCTGAAATGGATCAGTTTTCTGATTTCATTGACGAGCATCTTCTCATTGATTTACCTATGGAAGGCGCAGCCTATACATGGTCAAATGGCAGGGACCCGGTCACTTTTTCAAAGGCTGGATCGTTTCTTGATTTCCGGGGAATGGGAAGAGAAATTCTCGGATGTCGTTCAAGCAGTTTTAGCTCGGGTTATTTCTGATCATGTTCCTTTGGTTTTAGATTGTGGAGGTTTGAGTTCTTAAAGGTCTCTGTTTCGATTTGAGATTATGTGGCTAAGAGCGGAGGATTTCCAAGGAAAAGTTTAGTCTTGGTGGGAGGGAGTTGTTGTCATAGGCTCATCTAGTTTCATGTTATCTTGAAGGCTCTCAAATTCGATCTTAAAAAGTGGAATAAAGACCTTTTTGGGAATCTTGAATGGAGGAAGAGTAGAGTCTTTGCTGATTTTTATGAGATTGATCGCTTAGAAGAGGCGGGTGGGGTTGTGGAGTTTTTGAGTTCTAGGAGAGCTTCTTGTCAGGCAACTTTGGCTGAGATTGCTAGTATGGAGGAGATATCTTGGCGACAAAAATCCCGGGCTCTTTGGCTAAAAGAGGGAGATCGCAATACAAGTTTTTTTCCCAGACCCGCTAACGCTCATAGAAGAAGTAATCATATAGGACGTATTCGGGTGGAAGGTGTAGAGTTGTGGAGTGAGGAAGATGTGCGTAATGGGATTGCTTCCTTTTACCAAAAGCTTTATATCAAACCGCTTGCTTGGAGACCTAAACTTGATGGTCTTCATTTTGAGGCCATTTTCGAGATCGATAGGGAAGGGCTTGAGATTCCTTTTATTGAAGAAGAAGTTCTACATGCCTTATCTAGTTGTAATGGGGACAAAGCTCTGGGGCCTGATGGGTTTACCATGCGGTTTCTTTTGCAAAGTTGGACAGTTGTGAAAAACGATGTCATGGGCACTTTTCAGGAGTTTTATTCTACTGGTGCCTTTGAGAAGTCGCTTAATGCAACTTTCATTGTCCTTATCCCTAAGAAGGGAGGTGCTTCTGACATTAAAGACTTTCGTCCTATCAGCTTAGTGGGATGTATTTACAAGCTTTTGGCTAAGGTCCTTGCTCTTAGGTTGAGGGGAGTAATGGATGGGATTATTTCAGATTCCCAGAATGCTTTTGTTGGAGGAAGACAAATTTTTGATTCAGTTCTTATTGCAGGTGAATGTGCGGATTCCAGATTGAGAAGTGGTGTTCCCAGAGTCTTGTGTAAACTTGACATTGAGAAAGCGTATGATCATGTGAATTGGAATTTCCTGCTTTATTTGCTTCAGAGAATGGGGTTTGGTAGTAAATGGAGGAAATGGATTGAGACATGCCTTTCGTCTGTCAAATTCTCTGTTCTTGTAAACAGGTCTCCTGCTGGTTTCTTTGGGTGCTCCTGGGGTTTAAGACAAGGAGATCCCCTGTCATCTTTCCTCTTTCTTATTGTTATGGAGGGCTTAAGTAGACTTATGCGAAGAGCAGAGGATCTTGA